CATTCTTTCAGCAAACCTCTCCATAAACCATTTTAAAACATTTTGTAAAAAGACTTAAGTGGAGGGAAAAGTACCTCTTTTTTTTAAAAAAAATTATTTTACCAATTTAATCTCAAAGGATACCCAAACTAGTAGATATTATATTCTTTAAAAAGGTGTTTTACCCTGGCTGGTGTCGCTCAGTGTATTGAGCACCTGTCTGCCAACTGAGACATCGTTGGTTCAGTTCCCAGTCAGGGCACATGCCTGGGTTGCAGGCCAGGACCCTGGTTGGGGGTGTGCAAAACGCAACCACTCCATGTTTCTCTTGCACATTGGTGTTTCTCTCCCTCTCTTTTTCCCTCCCTTCCCCTCTACTTTACTTTATTTATTAAAAGTAAATAAAGAAAATCTTTTTTAAAAAAACTTTTTTCAAAGCATCATCTCCTTTAATCCTCATGAGAGCCCTGTGAGCTCAGACCTCTTAATGGACCCCCTTTATAGATGAGGAACCTGAGGCTCAGTCAGGTTCCACAACTTCTTTGAGTTCACAATGGCAGGACCTATGATTCTAACCCAGATTTGCTTTAAAAATCAGCCTTTGAACAATTTACTACAGATATATAATTATCAGATCTTATAGATCATACTATTTTTGGAGATTATTGATAAATATAAAATTCAAGGCTGATGGCCAAGTTGGTTAGCAACCTGGCTGCTTACCTTCCTTAACTTGTGTGGAGACTGCAAAGGCTAACAGCATCTTTTCTTAAAATTACACTTTATTGACTATGCTATTACAATTGTATTGGTTTACCCTCCTTTGCCCCCCTCCATGCAGGACCCCTCCCGCCCTCAGGCAATACGCCCACCATTGTTCATGCCCATGGGTCATGTGTATATTCTTTGGCTACTCCATTTCCTATACTGTAATTTACATCCGCATGGCTATTCTGTAACTACCTATGTGTACTTCTTATCCCCTCACCTCCTTACCCATTCTCCCACACCCCCTCCCATCTGGCAACCATCAGAATGCCCTCTGTATCTGTGATCTGTCTCTGTTCTTCTTCTTTGCTCAGTTCATTTTTTAGATTCAATTGTTGATAGATATGTATTCTTGCCATTTTATTTTTCACAGTTTTGATCTTCTTTTTCTTAAAAAGTCCCTTTAACGTTTCATTTAATAATGGCTTGGTGATCTCCTTTAGTTTTTTCTTGTGTGGGAAGCTCTTTATCTGCCCTTTGATTCTAAATGATAGCTTTGCTGGGTAGAGCAATCTTGGCTATAGGTCCCTGCTTTTCATGACTTTGAATATTTCATACCAATCCCCTCTAGCCTGAAAAGTTTCTTTTGAGAAGTCAGCTGATAGTCTTATGGGAATTTTCCTTTAGGTAACTAACTCCTATTTTCTTGCTGCTTTTAAGATTCTCTCTTTATCTTTAAACTTTAGCATTTTAATTATGATGTGTCTTGGAGTGGGCCTGTTTTCATCCATCTTGATTGGGGCTCTCTGTGCTTCCTGGACTTGCATGTCTATGTTCTTGACCAAATTTAGGGAAGTTTTCTTTCATTATTTTTTCAGATAGATTTCCAATTTCTTGCTCTTTCTCTTCTCTTTCTGGCACCTGTATGATGCAAATATTGGACCCCTTGAAGTTGTCCCAGAGGCTGCTTTTACTATCCTTGTTTTTTTGGATTCTTTTTTCTTCTTGTTGTTCTGATTGGTTGTTTTTTGCTTCTTTATGTTCCAAATCATTGATTTGATTCTCAGCTGCCTCCACTCTATTGTTGTTTCCCTGTAAATGGTTCTTTATTTCAATTGGTGTATCCTTCTTTTCTGACTGGATATTTTTTATGCTGCTGAGGTCCTCACTAAGTTTCTTGAGCATCGTTATAACCAGTGTTTTGAACTCTGCATCTAACAGATTGTTTATCTCCATTTCATTTAGCTCACGGGTGCCAACTTGCAGCCCATGGCCTGCAAGCAGTCCAGAATGGCTGTGAATGAGGCCCAAAACAAAATAATAAATTTACTTAAAACATAATGAGATATTTTTTGTGATTACATGTCACAATGTATTTAATATGTGGCCCAAGACAACTCTTCTTCTTCCAGTGTGGCACAGAGATGGCAAAATTTTGTACACCCCTGATTTAGCTCTTTTTCTGGAATTTTGATTTGTTTTTTCATTTGGGCCATGTTTCTTTGTCTCCTTATTTTGGCAGCCTCCATGTATTTGTTTCTATGTATTAGATAGAGCTGCTTTGACTCCTTGTCATGGTAGTGTGGCCTAATGTAGTAGGTGACCTGTACGGTCCAGTGGCACAGCCTCCCTCATGGCCCAAGCTGGGCACTTGAGGTGCGCCCTTCATATGGGCTGAGTACACCCACCTCTTGTAGTTGAGCCTTGATTGCTGTTGGCGGATCAATGGAGGGAGTTACCCAGGCCAGTCAACTACAACGATTGGCTGTGACCACTTACCATAAACCTCCACCCTCCATGAAAGATCAGCTGTGCAGGGGCAGGGTGGTGGTGCTCCGACGTGGTCTGTACCTGTCCACTGGTTTCTCTGGCGCTGGTATTTCCTGGGTGATGCTGGCCAAGGTCAGCCCCTACCTGTGTTTTTTCCCAAGGCCACCCTGCCTGAATTATAAAGCAATCTGAGATGGCTGCTACTTGTGCTGAGCTTAGAGATTCCCAGGCAAAGCCAAGCTATGAATCTAGGCTGACTGCTGCTAGTGCCAGGCCTGAGGTTCACTGAGGCCAGCTGTTGCTTGTTTGAGTGGATTTAGAGGTGGTGCAGTATGAGCTAAGACTATGGAAAAGCAGCTTGCATGGGCCCGTAAGTTGGGTGGGATGGAGTCTCTGGGAACCTTCAAGGGGGGGTCAAACAGTGTTAGCCAAGTTGATGGAGTCTCAGATATGGCACCAGCTTGCCAGATCTGTAGGGGGAGGGTTCAGAAAAGGGGCAATGGCCTCTGCTTGTCTTGATGCCAGACACTTTAGTTCCTCCCTGTATGCCACTGGTGCCATTCAAGCTGCTACCCCAGCACTAGAGTTCAGAAGAAGTGAGTATAAGTAGGTGAGACTGTGTATGGGTTCTTTAAGAGGAACTGCTTGGGACTCTAGAAGTTTCTTCCACTGACTCAATCCCCACTGGGTTTTGCATCCAGAAGTTGTGGAGACTTATCTTCCTGGCACTGGAACCCTGGGCTGGAGGGCCCGGTGTGGGGCTGGGACTCCTTGCTCCAAAGGTATCCCTCCTGAATTTTTATCCACTACACATGGGTGAGGGACAAGCCCATTCCACATCTGCACCCCTCCTACCAGCCTGGATGGATGTGGTTTCTTTAATCCCATAGTTGTCAGACTTCCATTCAACTTGATTTCTGACAGTTCTGAGTGATGGTTGTTCTCTATTTTAGTTGTAATTTTGATCGGGCTGTGCACAGAGGTGAGCCATGTCTGCCTACATTTTCCTCTTGACCGGAAGTCAACTAACAGCATCCCCATCTTGCGCACTTTGCTCCCATGTTCGCCTGCTGAAATTCTAGGCTTTAGGAGAGGAAAACATGTTGCTGCTATTTAGGCCTTTCCTTGTTTCCGCCATTCCTCTGAAGACACATTGATTCATTTTTGTGCAGTTGTCCACCGACACAGTGTGGCAGGCCTAGGTTGTCTTTCTCTGAGCTTGGGTAGGCTCGGTCCTCCAGGGTTGGAGAGCACACCCCTGCAGCAGTGCCCGTGGCAGTGGCTATTGAGGTGGCACCCCAGGGTGGGGCAGAGGCAGAGCTGGCTGGTCCCCACCTGCCATGTGGACCGATATTACATTCTTAAATAACATATTCATGAAATTAAGCATATGAATTCATTAAGTATGTAAAGTAATTACAGCTCAGTATACATCAGCTCAGTTCTGTATTTTTTACATGTCAATATCTTCATTTTATATCTTACAAGTTCACGTAGTTATGTATTTAACAAATTATATGGAATTAGTATTGGCATAAAATATGGACGTATGGTTGCTGTGTTGAATACAAAGGCTTACTTAATGTGAAAGCAAGAACTTGACGCAGGGAGTAAGAAGGCGGGCTCTAATCCCAGAGCAGCCCCTAAATAAAGATGGAACTTAGCACAAGTCGTTGAATTTCAGTGAACATCAGGTACATCTTTTGAAAAATGATAGGATAGGATAAAATGTTAAATCATTTTCAAGGCCCCTTCCAGATCTATGATTCTTGAGTTTCTGTAGAGTAGAAGGGAAAGAGTACAAGCTGAGAAAACACTATCATTCACAAATCATGTTTCCCTCAGTTAAAATGTGTACCAGGTGGCCAATATGTGATCTTCTGTATTTGGTCCACTCCTGGTTCCATCTCCCATATCATAGGAAACTATTAGGAAAGAAATGGATGGTTCTTTTTTTTTTTAATTTAAAGGATTAATTATTAATTAATCCAGCAAACTTGGGAAAAATGTAAAGGTAACACACACACCCATAATCACACTATTCAAAAAGAATCTCATCATTGTCCTATTACTTTTCTAAATATGTATGTGTGTGTGTATATATATATATATTTAAAGTCTCCATATAGTCTGCAGTCTGCTGTGGCCAGATTAGTTGGTTAGAGCGTCCCCCTGATACACCATGTTGTTGGTTCCATCCCTGGCTAGGGCACATAGAAAAATCAACCAATGAATGCATAAATAAGTGAGACAACAAATGGATGTCTTTCTCTCTCTGTCTCTCCTTTCCCCTCTCTCTCTGAAATCAATTAAAAACAACAACAAAGCAGTCTGCAGGCTGATTTTTTGTTGTTGTTTTTTGTTTGTTTGTTTTACTTCAGAGCAGTATGTAATTTCCGTACGACTAGTTGGAATACCCACAATAATATGCCTACACACCAATAAGATAGGACATAAGCAAACATTGTTATATAGAGTTTGGAATAGGTATAATTCTACTATGTCCCAGGCTATTCTTACTCTTTCTCTTTATTTGCTTCAGAATGGATTGGTTTCACTGCAACCGGTGTTTCCAAAAAGATGGGGCCCATTTCTTTGTCACCAGCTGCGGCCATATTTTCTGTAAGAAGTGTGTGACTCTGGGTGAGTGACTTACCTATTTTCAGAATGAGGAAAAAATGTTTTAAACCTGGAAATAACGATTAGCTATTTTTCTATGTGACTTGGGATAAAAATCACTTAGTAGGCCAAAGGTCATATGGATACAGTAGTTGATTATGGAAATTGGAGAAATCTATTAATAAAGAATGATTTAGCAAATAGAATACCAATTATTTGAGCACCAAAAGATACTTATCAGTGTTTTGAAGCCTGTGGCAGTGAGAAAACCACAAGATTATCAGTCTGTTTAGGGAAAAGAGAAAAAATAATGAGTAGGAATGGGGGAAAGTTTGGTTGATAACAAGAGCCATATCTAATGGGAAGTGGTCTAGCCTGTAAAATCAATTTGATTAGAAATGATGATGACGGTGATGGTGGTGGTGGTGGTGGTGGTATCTTTGCAGTTTAAAAAGTATTTCCACATGTACCAATTTAATGTATTCACACCACAATCCCAGGAGCTAATTATCAATAAATGCACTTTACAAATGAGGAGCTGGTAGTTCTTTTTTCTTTTTTTAAAAAAAAAAAAAATTATTTATTTTTAGAGAGGGGAAGGGTGGGAGAAAGAGAGGGAGAGAAACATCAGTGTGTGGTTGCCTCTTGAACACCCCTCACTGGGGACCTGGCCTGCAACCCAGGCATGTGCCCTGACCGGGAATCGAACCGGTTACCCTTTGGTTTGCAAGCTGGCACTCAATCCACTGAACCACACCAGCCAGGGTATTTTGCCCAAGTTCTTACAGCTATTAAGTCTAGAAATAAGATTTGAATTTAAATTGTTTTTTTTTTTAAATGCTAAAATAGTGACAAGGTGTGGAAATAACCCAGAAGAGGGACTTAGGATCGGGTACTTTGATCAGGTAAGATTTTATAGGAGAGGTGTTGCTTCAATTGAGTTTTGAATAATAAACTGGAGTTTGCCAAGTGGATAGGCAGGGAAGATCATTCTAGGTCAAGAGAACAACATGTATAAAGGCATAACACATCATAAAACCATAGTGCAGTGGACTACATGTGGTTGAGATTTGTAGAGCATAAAAAATAAGGTAAGATTCCCCCGCCCCTTAAAAAAGATAAATAAACAAAGTCTTTATGCACTAACTGATGTGGTTCAGTGGATTGAGTGCAGGCCTGCAAACTGAAAGACTGCAGGTTTGATTCCCAGTCAGGGCACATGCCTGGGCTGTGGGCCAGGGGCCCAGGTGGGGGCTTGTGAGAGGCAACGGATTGATGTATCTCTTGTACTTCAATGTTTTTTTCCCTCTCTCCCACCCTTCCCCTCTCTCAAATAAATAAATAAATAAATAAAATCTTTAGAAAGAAAAAAGGTAAGATTGGTGATTGATGAGTCTAGATAGGCAGTGGCCAGATGATGAAAGACTCTATATTCCAGGTTAAAGAACCTGAACTTATTCAGGTTCTTTATACCTGAATCAAAATTATAGTTATCTTTTCATCAGATCGGCAAGATATATATGTTTTTTGCTGTGCTGCAGGATTTTAGTAATTACTTTATATGTGCCATGAGATGAAAAAGGTTGAAAATCGCTGCTCTATATGAATCTCATGACCATTTAAAATTATCTGCTAATGTAACAAAGCTGTTGACTATAGTAACAACAGCTCACTTTGGAGTAGTTTTTCTGTCTCAGTGAAGCATATGCCATGTGATATTTTCTCCTGACATGGCATTTATCTTTTTTTTAAGATTCTATTTATTTATTTTTAGAAAGAGGGGAAGGGAGGGAGAAAGAGAGGCAGAGAAATATCAATGTGCACGAGAGAAACATCAGTCAGCCGCCTCTTGCAAGCCCCCAAACAGGGACCTGGCCTGCAACCTACGCATGTACCCTGACCAGGAATCGAGCTGGCAAAACCTCAGTTTGTGGGATGACACTCAACCCCGTGAGCCATACCAGCCAGGGCCTGACAGCATTTATCTTAATCAATAACTGGCACCTCTGCTAAAATTTCAATTTACAAGGAATAATTGGAAATTTTAATTTTCTCATCTTTCAGAAAGGATTCATTAGAAAATGAGAGAGTAGGAGAGCTTCAAAACAAGATCCAGGAATATTAGCAAAGTGAAAATAGACCAGGAATAAGTGGGGAGATTCTTGTAGTATCTAATATGTGCCTACTGCCAGGTAGGTGGGGTAACAAAGAGTTACTTAAAGTTGAGATTATCAGTACTCTTGTATTCTTCCTAGTACTCTTGTAAATGTACTCCAGCACTCCTACTGGGTCATTAGAACTATCCCTCACCCACAGAAGAAAATTGGGAATTTATAAACAGGGAGGTGGGTAGAGGTACAGCATTAAAGTCTTACTTGTCATCAAGTTTGGAAATGCCGATTTAGAGAACAGAGCTCAAGTTGATGTCTTTTTATAGCCAATTGTATTCTAAATTCTTTTTTCTCTTGCTAGCTTACTTGACTGCTACCATGTACTTTAGGAAAATCTTACCTTGTATCCATGAAAACCAAACATTTTCCCCTTTCCACCCTAGAAAAATGTTCTGTTTGTGGAGCTGCCTGCAAGCATCTGGCTCTTTCTGATAATGTAAGTTTTTCTTTCCCCCTCCCACCCCCGCAACCATTTTATCCCATTCCTGGCCTGTAAGAAGTATACAAACAGTATGACTGATGAGTGACTAAGCACTGAAATTTAAAAGAGAAAAAAAGAAAGGACTTGCTGATAGCAATTGTGAAAAAAAAAGGGGTAAACAACACAGGAGAATTACTTGTGGCTGCTGTTACAGAAGCAATGTGTAAGGATAACAAGGATAATATAGTCTACATCTCCTAGAGCAGTGGTGATTGCTCTGCTCGCTCAGCACAATGAAATAATACCAGGTGCTTTAGAAGGGGTGGTAATCCTTTGCCATGTTGGCTAGTATTTTATTTCATTCCATTTTGGATATGCTCAATGTTTTTGTTACTCTCTTCACAGCTGAAACCTCAGGAAAAAATGTATTTCAAAAGCCCTGTGGAGACAGCTTTGCAGCATTTTAGCCACATCTCTCAGGTATGAGAAACAAAAGTGAAAAAAACTGATTCTCCAGGCAAGTTCAAATTGCATCTTATTTCTTTATTAAAGGTTCTCTTTAGACTGCATGTACACAATGGACAGAAAGTGGCTGCTCAGTTTGCTTTCTTCACTGATGATATAAATCTCAGCAGTTACCTTTTTTTTTTACACTAAAAAATTTGACAATTTTATGGAGGAACCACATAAAATTTAGCTTTAGGGTTTAATATTTAATAGCACAACTAATCAAGATCCAAGATGGAAAGTTACCATGTTCAAGAAACTGGAGTTGGGGGGAAATCACTCTATCATCTAACTATGTAGTATGTGATAAGAAGAATGCACACTTTACAATGTAAAACCTGTCTATGCATAGTAATCAGTGGCAAAAAGCCATTCAGTCTTCTCTTGGCTTGGAGAAACATTGTTCCAGATTTCAGTGTAAATTAACAAACTTCAACCTTTTGTGTAGCAGGTATCTTGTTTTCACCTTCCAGTTCTTCCACCCCGGCCTGTGTCATGAGGTCTGCAATGTTTTTCTCCAGGTGCATCAATGCAACTACTCTTATCATCAATTCTCCCAATGATATGTCTGGTTGGACATGGTTGAAATTTATCTTGCATCTGTTGCAGGAGTGTCTGTACCACTGAGGTGAGATCCTGCATGGTCTTGGGGTCAGTCTCGGCCATCTCCTCATTTCCCAGCTTAGCAGTGATATCTCAACAGTTAACTTTTTACTGACCCAGAATTTATGAGAGGCTGTGAAAACCACTATGCAGCTGATATCTTGCATTGCACTTCCTAGTCTGTTAAGTGGTTTTTAAGAATAAAGAAAGTTCTGGGGAACTTTATTATTTTTCTGTGCAGATTAATGCATCTTTTAAAAATTGATTTGAATTAGGGTCTGACAGAAGTAACACCTGCTTGAGTGTGGTTGTTAGGGTAATAATATGGGTGTAATAATTTATATCTTTAATTTGAACATTTTGGAACTTCTGGCCAAGATGGAGGCATAAGTAGATACACTTTGCCTCCTTGCACAATCAAAAGAAGGACCGCAACAAATTTAAAAACAAAAAACAATAAGAACTTCCATAAAATTGAACTGTATGGAAGTCCGACAACCAAGGGGTTAAAGAAGAAACATTCATCCAGACTGGTAGGAGGGGCAGAGTCAGGAAGCCAGAGTGGAGAGGACATGTGGTAAGGCAGTGGCTAGAGGACCAGGAGGGCGAGGCGGCAGTGGGTGGACTGGGTGGCCCCACATTTGAGTGTGGATAAACCAGGAGGAACAACTGGGGAATGAGACACCTCACAACCCAGCGCAGGAAAAGAAAACCTCTGGCTGTAAAAACCTGTGAGGGTTGTGGCAGCAGGAGAAACTCACAGCCTCACAGGAGAGTTTGTTGGAGAGACCCACAGGGTCCCAGAATATACACAAACCCACCCACCCTGGAATCAGCACCAGAAGGGCCCAATTTACTTGTGGGTAGTGGGGGAAGTGACTGACAGTGGGGCAAGAGCTGAGCAAGTGGCATGGTTCCCTCTCTGACCCCTCCCCTGCATACAGTGCCACAACCCAGCCACATGGATTGCCCCCCCCCCCGGTGAATTACCTAAGGCTTCACCCCTTACAACATACTAGGAGCACCAAGACAAAGAAATATGGCCCAAATGAAAGAACAGATCAAAACTCCATAAAAAATACAACGAAGTGATGAAGAGATAGCCAACCTATCAGATGCACAGTTCAAAACACTGGTAATCAAGATGCTCACAGAAATGGTTGAGTATGGTTGCGAAATAGAGGAAAAAGTGAGGGCTATGCAAAGTGGAATAAAGAAAAATATACAGGGAACCAATAGTGAAGGGAAGAAAACAGGGACTCAAATCAACAATTTGGAGCAGAAGGAAGAAATAAGCATTCAATTGGAACAGAATGAAGAAACAAGAATTCAAAAAAATGAAGGGAGACTTAGGAACCTCTGGGACAACTTTGAACGTTCCAACATCCAAATCATAAGGGTGCCAGAAGGAGAAGAGGAAGAGCAAGAAATTGAAAACTTATTTGAAAAAATAATGAAGGAAATTTCACCAATCTGGCAAAGGAAATAGACTTCCAGGAAGTCCAAGTGGCTCAGAAAGTCCCAAAGAAGTTGGACCCAAGGAAGCACACAGCAAGGCACATCACAATTACATTACCCAAACTTATCTAAGAAAAAGAAGATCAAAAGTAGGAACAATAAAATGACAACACATTCACAACTATCAACAACTGAACCTAAAAACAAAAACAAGCTAAGCAAACAACTAGAACAGGAACAGAATCTCAGAAATGGAGACCATATTGAGGGTTACCAGTGGGGAGGGGGAGGTGGGAGAAGGTGGGAAAAGTATAGGGAATAAGAAGCATAAATGGTAGGGACAAAATAGACAGGGGGAGGTTAATAATAGTATAGGAAATGGAGAAGCCAAAGAACTTACATGTACGACCCATGGACATGAACTAAGAAGGGGGAATGCTTGTGGGGAGGAGGTGCAAGGCAGAGGGGAATAAAGGGGAGGGAAAAAATGAAACAACTGTAATAGCATAATCAATAAAATATCTTTTAAAAATAACAATAATTTGAATATTTCACCTGAGATGTCATATGGTGTACTTGAGTGTGATATTGTTATATTACGGAATTACCTGCTTATGATTTTGTAATGGAAAAGGGGCATTATTTGTGCCAGACCCTGTAAATAGGCCTGACCACACAAACAATGGAGTTTGTGGTCTCTCAACCTTTTACTTAAAGTTCAAGAAAGGATTTCTTGTTTTCTAATCTCACTTTTCAATAATATTTCTTAGTAACGCATATAGATTTGATCTTCATTTAGTGTTCATAACTGGTTACCTGATTTTTAGGCAAATATTTTTCTTTTCCTGATGCAACATCATATGTTGGCATACCATTGACTTGATCAGGAACAACAAGAATGTGGGAAAATATACATGGGAGAAGGCAGGACAACTGTTTGAGAGATTTACCAAATTGCAAAAGCTTTGGTTTTTCCACTCCACTCTCCAGTTCTCCACTGAGAATTATTTCATAGTCTCATTGGATTCCTATCTTGGCATGTTTTTTGATTTTTTTTTTAATCACTGTTCTTCTTCTACTCTTACTTCTTATTCTCAGGAAAGTATTCCTTTTCTAAATGTGAAGAGGAGCTTTAGTTATTTTCTGGCTGAATATGGTAGATTTAATTTTTATTTGGTTTCACTCCTCAATTCTAACTCTGGTGATAGAGGAAGGGGAATTGAGACTTTGGCTGCATCCTGCTTTTAGCTGCTTGGGTGAAACATCATATTTTAGATACTATTTAACAGTATGGGGAGATAAAATCCAGCTGAGGCTGAAGGAAAAATGTAAACAAGGTCACATGAACAAGAGAAAGAGCAGACCTTTAGTTAATAACTAAACCTAGGATTAGTTAATTATTAGTAGAGAAATTGTGTGTAGTCTGAATCAACCTACCTAATCATGGGACTAATTACACATGGTCAAATAATAAGATAAAATAAATGGAAAGGGTCAGTTAATCATCACTTTAGTAAAGGGCCAGCTTGGTGAAGTCAGCAATGTCTGAAAATGTTTTCCTAATCTGTGAAGCTGAATAACTGATCCAAGTAATACTTAGATTGCCTCATTCAGGCTTCCGCTCAAATTTTCCTTTCTCAGTCAAACCTTCTCTGACTCTCCTATCTCACATAATAGCCCCAGCACTCCCTACTTATCTTGCTTTATTTTTCATCATAGCTCTTATCTCTAACATTATATATTTGTTTTTTATCTGAATCTGGCACTGAAATGTAGTAAATTCCATGAAAGCAGAGATTTGGTTGGTTTTGTTTATTGTTATATACATAGCTCTTCAGATAGTTCTTAATATGTCATAGACACTCAAAAAATTATTGAATGAATGAATGAATGAATGAATGAATGAATATTGATCTAAATATCCATTTATGTTTTAATCATCTCCAATCTCTGTAATGACTTGACAAGGGCATTTTTCTTCTGTACTACTCTGTGGACAATAGTTGATTAAGCTGCTCATTTTGAATTCTTTATTCACCTCTAGATAAAAATATCTAACTAGCCCTGGCTGGTGTGGCTCAGTGGGTTGAGTGCTGGCCGGCGAACCAAAAGGTCACTGGTTTGATTCCCAGTCAGGGCACATGCCTGGGCTGTGGGCCAGGTCCCTGGTTAGGGGCATGTGAGAGGCAACTGATCTATGTTTCTCTCACACATGATGTTTCTCTCCCTCTCTTTCTCCCTCCCTTCCCCTCTCTCTAAAACAAAAAAACAAACAAAAACTATCTATTTGTATTTAGGGATTGGAGAGCCCCATATGGACCTGTTAGCTTTATTCTATTCCAAGATCGTAGACTGCACGCAGATAGTCTTATCCACAACTAGCCATCTTTCAAATGCATGCCAATTGTTCTTTGTTAGAGCCTTGTTTAATTCCTGTAAGCAGATTTTTACTCTTTCCTTTGTCCTCTATCCCACCTTACTCTTAACTCTGCGAAGGTGTTTTGATTTATTTGTTCATGTGTCTGTTTCTCTCACTAGACTGAAGCTTTGAAAGGCAGGTAACGTATTTCTGTTGTTCAATGCCTAACTAGGTACCTGGAACAAATTAGGTGCCTAAGAAAAGTTTGTTAAATGAATGAATACACATATAATGCTGTAAGGGTGGGAGAGAGGAATAGTTTAAGTTAAGGTCAGAGAGAGAGGCTTGATAGTATAGGGACTTGGAGGCTATGGTAAGGACTTTAGATTTTCCTCTAAGTGAAGTGGGTTTTAAGCAAGGAAATGGCATTATCTTATATATAGTTTTCAAAGAGAATCTGGCTGCTGAATGGAGAATGGACCAGAGAGAAGTTAAGAGTAGAAGTAGGAAGACCAGTTATGAGGCTATGGGAGAAATCTAAGCAAGACTGCTT